TGGTTTTCCGAACAGATGCTTCCATCGTACATTCATGTTCTGCAGCACACGTTCTGACTGAGCACATCCATTGCAATCTCCCCCATGTGCTATCACTTATCCCCTCCTCCCTACATTGCCCGTTTCCATCCCTCCTTTTCCTCTAGCCGCCTCTGCTTTTTCCTTGCGCAAATGCTGCCCCTTTGACCCTAAATGGTTGACTATTCTAACCTGCTGGTGAGCTCAGCTCGAGTCCTGAAGGGAAACGATTGAGTATAATCTAGAGGGGCTCCCCTAGTTTCAATTGACCAGTAAACCGGGTCTCTTTTATGACCGGGGGGTTTGTTCCACATTTACTCATGTGATCCTTTTCAAAGCAGGTATTAGTGGTAGCGAGGCAGCGTCTTGCTCTGCTGGGCTTAGGGTTGTGGAGAAGGATGTTTGAGTAGCCCGTTCGTGCACTGGACTAATGGTTTCCATGTATATTTAGATCGTCTCCATTCCTCTTTCCTCTGGGAAGGTACAGAGCAGCAGTTACACCTCCAATGGCTGCTTGCACTCTTTGAAACCTCTGGCCATTGCTCCCCACAGTAGAATGTGGAGCGCTGCCTTTGTGAACCATCCCCTGCCAACTGACAGCTGTGTCTCTTGGACTAAGGCCCTGACCCCTCAGGCCCAGCAACTCCTCCCCACAAAGGTGTTTGGTATGTCTAAGATGTTTTCGTACCTCTGCCCCTTGAATACCACATTCATGGATTTATTCACAGCAAAAAAAAAATACACCTTATGTCAGAAAGATTTAGCCATAAGGAGTTAGGTGACTGTAAAGGCTTATTCGGGCAGCTTCTGGAGCCAGACTGAGTTCAAATCCTGGCCCTGCTCCTTAATATTAGAGTGGCTGGGGGCATATGTCTCTTAATTGTTTTGATTCTTCATCTGTAAATAAGTACTTACCGCGTGCATAGTTGTAAGGGTTGAATGCCTTCATATGTCCAGAGTGCTTAGAATAGATCCTAACATGCACTGTATCGTATGTTTGCTCCCACTGTGGAACATTCAGGGATAAACTGCATATAAGGAAGAGAGAAGAAAAATAGTGAATCTTGTCAGTGGTTTTTTTAATAGAGAACTGTTATGTGTGCTTCCAAAGTATAATGTGGTGCTATAAAAAAGGGAAGAAGCAGAAGCCCGTGTAATGGTGTCGGGTGCGGGGCTCCTAGCCTTGAATTGTCTTGTCAAGCCTGATTGTGTTCATCAGCTTTCATCCATCATGTGAAATTGTGAGCCAGAAATGGACTTTATTTGTTGTCAGGGCCCTGGTGACATATTTGGTATTAAAATGCAACCGTCTGTCTCAAAGGAGATGGAGAGGCAGAGAAGGGTGAAAGAGAAGGAACACATTTGATACAACTCTTGATTTTGCTCTCTTCTTTGATGGTCATAAAATGTTCCAGAAAACTCCATATGAGGTATAAGGTAATGCTGCATTTAGCTCTCACCTACCAAGTCAAACTACTTTTTCTGAGAACAACATTCCAGAACAAAATACAAGAAAACAGTGAGAGGGAAAGTACTTCTCGAGGAGACACTTAGGGTTTACATATGTTC